GTGACCCAGAAAGGTTTAGATTCACTGTTTTAGGAGCTTCCTGTTATGTGAAGTATTTATATTAAATCTCAAAATACAATCACCCTCTCATACCCTCTGTCTTGGTCTCCTAATTCATTTTGCCAAGGCCCTAAAAAGCGTCTACTTACCCTACTGTGGGGTGTTGTATATTTCTTTAGATCCGGACTCAACTTCCAGAGTTCCAACCAAAAACCCTGATGGACTTTGGGTCAGGTACTGGTTCTGTCACCTGGTGAGTATCTTTCTCTGTCTCTGTCCGTTCTAGCTCTAGAGAGCCATGCTTACACAACACCAATATCAAGAGACTGGGGAACCAGAGGAAGAATAGGAAAGTTGGGAATTCAAATGTTTCTTCCCTCAGAATGGGCAAGGCATGAGAAGATAGATGGATTAGAGCCAGAACTTAAATGTTAAGTGATAAAAGACCCACATTTACAAAGATAAAGGAGTTTAGTGTAGGGCATAAGTTTTACATATCATCAAAATTATTTTGCCTACAATAGTTTTCTTGAGTCTGCGTTTGTTTGTTTTTTTAAGGAGCTGTAAATAAGAAAATAACATAGTTAGTTTATCCAACATTTTAACATAGCATTCTGTTTCCCCAAGGGTCGGGTTCAGGATAGAGGATTCTCTTATAGGAATGATTCTTTGTCATGAGAACTGGTGATTTATATTTTGTCATCTTAGGGCTGCTCATAGTATTTGGGGTCAGAGCCTACGTGAATATATGTGTGTGGACAGTTCAGCTGCCATGTTGGATTTGGCAGAAAAGTTACTGAAAGGTGAGGACAAGCTATAAGGAAGGACTTTTCCAAAGTTGAAGGAGTTAAGAAAGCAAAGGAATACTGGAGAGAGTGTTTTATTCTGGAGTAAGGGAGAGAGCTAAAAGTTAAAGATGAGTTTGGTCTCCTTCCAATTTTATGGTCAAGTGGGGGGTTAGGGAGGAGGCTTTGCTGGACTGTGAATGGATTGGGAAAGATTAACAGACAGGTTTCCCAATATTCTCCCTGTCCTTTTTAATATTTGCTTACCCTATGCATCTCACTCTCACCTAGCATTTTTCTTTATTCTCAGGGCCATATTTCTTACCAGGATATCACTTCAATTTATATTTATACACTGGCAATTTTTAACTTTTTTCATCTCATGGCACACATAAGCTAGTTATTAGAATTCAACAGCACACCAAAAAATATATTTTTTGCCCACCTGACAAAAAATAGGTATCATTTTGATTCATTCACACCGGATGGCTATTGTTTTGGCTGTCATTTTTTTATTTGACAATCTAAGGGAAAAGAGATCGGTGCCCCTCACTAAACAGTCAGGTATTACACGTTTTAAACATTCTTGCTGCACACCAGTTAAAAATCAGTGCTATCCACTCATAGTTGCCACACCTCTGCTTGTCTTCACAGGTGGTTCAGAAAATGGGAAGCTGTACATTCCAGGTGTCTTTTTCAGACAGTTTCTACCTGTATCACCTAAGGCAAGTGGCAGTATGTAGAGTACGCTAAATGTGGAATTTGGCAGGTGGAAAACTGCGTGGCCTCAGCATTGCAATCCAGCAGTGAGTGTTAGAAGATAAAAGACAGCAGAAGACATTTAGGGAGATAGACCTTTATTGTGCTCTAGGAAGGGGGAGATGGCAGGTCTGTCATGTTCTTTGTCTTGGTCCTCAGGTACAGTTCAATGTGGTGGTATCAGCCTTTTCCCTAAGTGAACTGCCCAGCAAGGCTGACCGCGCTGAGATAGTCCAAACCTTGTGGCGCAAGACAAGTGATTTTCTGGTGAGTAAAAATCCACTTTACCCTTCAAGTTTTAAAGCAGCTTCATGGGTTTCATTCCTTTCCTTCTCTATATTGGAGCTTGTCTGCATTCTCGACCAAAATTTTTCTCCTGCATAGATTCCTTTGTCCCTCTTTTAGGGTCACCATCCCAATCTTATATATGATGCCACTTCCTTCAGGACTGCTGTTCCATCTGTGAATGCTCTTACAGAGCTACTGACATTTGTGTTTTCATGTAATTCGGGGCTTCTGCTCATTTTCCCCTTTGTGAACAGATATTGGTGGAGAATGGAACAAAAGCTGGACACTGCCTTCTCATGGAAGCCAGGGACCTGGTCCTTAAGGTGAGGTTCTTTCTCCTTCTCTTCCCCCAACCCCTATCTATCTGTCACCAATTACCAGTACTCCCTTGAAAACTGAAAAGACTGTGGTACAAAGTAAGTGACTCTCGGGAGAGTAGGCGTGTAAAGTCATTATGATGTAGGGTGGTGGTTAGCAAAGTAGGGCCTGTGGATCAAATCCTGCCTGCCAGGGTTTGTATGAGCCAGGCTTATTTGAGTGTCTGTTGTATATGGCTGCTTTCACACTACAAATGGCAGAGATGAATGTTTGGGACAGAAACAGATTTTGCCTACCCTCTGGGCCTTTAAAAAAGTTTGCTGACCCCTGACCTAGGACATGGCGGAGCCAAAAACCTTATCTCTAGGACTGTATGAGCCAGTGTAAAATCATGAATTTAGTTGTCCTGGAATGGATTTTTTTGAGAGTGGAGGTTGCTGACAAGAAGAGCACCATTCTGTGTGCCAAGTTCCTGCCTTTCTCCTGCTTCAAAGAGAAAGTTCTTTGTTCGGAGTATTAGAGAAGTAGCCAGCTTAACTCAAAGAACATAGTTAGTAGTTACCAGAATCGGATGTTAAAGGAGTCCTCAATTGACTGAGAGCAGAGATTGATTTATGGGAATAGACCCTACAGGCCCAGCTTAATTTTTTAATTTCCTTTGATTTCAGGGAAAGGAGAAGTCACCTCTGGACCCTCGACCTGGTTTTGTCTTTGCCCCAGTGAGTATTGCTTCTACCTTTCCCAGCATGCAAAGAGCTGAGCTCACCTGTGTCCAGGGCAAGTCAGAGGGCAAAGCTAAGCCTCCCTCCACTGCTTTGTGTCCCGATCCGATTTCTTCTTAGTGGATCCCCTGCTCTCCCTACCTCCCTGCCCCTGTGCTCCCTTACCCCTAGCCCTTCCTGACCCTAGCACCCTTAGTTTCCCAGTTTTATGATCTGTGGTTCTTTCATCTTACCTCATATTTTTCATGTGTGTTTACAGTGTCCCCATGAACTTCCTTGTCCCCAGTTGACAGCCTCTAAGCCCCTGGCCTGTAGCTTTTCCCAGGCTTACCATCCCATCCCCTTCAGCTGGGTATGTACCTGGGAATATTGCAGCAGGGAGGAGGTAGCTTGGGAAAGCAGGATGAAAAAGAACCAGGTGGGAGGAGTTGGAAAATTCCGAGAGCGTTTGTAGGGCCTGAGTGTGCATGACCTGGAATATGTAAAGGGCTACGGGAATGGGGGTCGACATTTTCCCCATATTTTTTCCCCCAAAACAGTCCCTCTATCCTTACCTTAGAGCAAGAAGCCAAAGGAGGAAAAGTTCTCGATGGTGATCCTTGCCCGGGGGTCTCCAGAGGAAGCTAATCGCTGGCCCCGGATCACTCAGCCTGTCCTTAAACGGCCACGCCATGTGCACTGTCACCTGTGCTGTCCAGATGGGCATATGCAGCATGCTGTGCTCACAGCCCGCCGCCATGGCAGGTACGGAGGCTGTGACCACAATTAGTGGGAGGTGGCAGGATCCTACCCCCACATTGACCTCTCTTTTTCATAGGGATTTGTATCGCTGTGCCCGTGTCAGCTCCTGGGGAGATCTTTTACCTGTGACCACGCCGTCTGAGCTCCTTCCGTCCCCTGTTGAAGATCCCCCTGAGAGTTAACAAGGATGTGTAACGAGTTTCTTGCATTGTGCCTGCCAAGGCTAAAGCTACCTGGTATCCAGGATGGGAGTGCTGGTACCCCTATATATCTGCATTTGTTTGAAGTTTTAATAATTAAAAGTTTTCAAAGAATGGGACTGGGTCTTGTGATTCTTAAAAGGTATAAATGTTAGTCATCACCGCCTATCCTGTAACGAAGTGAGTCCTCAGAGATTCAATGCTTGTCTCCCCACAGAAACCTCAAGCTCAGCCCCTCCTGTAAGAATACTGCTGCTTCTCCCAGAGACCGGGACTTCCCAGGGAAATAATGGGGTAGTGGGGAACACCGCCCCCAGCGCTCTGAGAACTGGCTCAACAGGTCTCAGGGTAGTTAGACGGGCCACCTGGATAGGTGACCAGCAGCTGTGTGGCCTCTGTTTCTCTCCGTCCTTCCTTTCCTTTTATCTCTCAGGGTTCATCAGCTCCCCAGAGTTTGCCTCATGAGTGTCCTTCAAGAATTGATTCTTTCAGGATCAATTCATCCATCTCAACCCCAGCATATCCAGGCAGGGTCCTTCATTTACTTGGTTCATTTCTGTGTTCCCCTAGGCCTTCCTGTTTCAGAGCTAGAGCAACTTTCTGTGTAATAAAACTCTCAGTCCCTCACCCACAATGTATATCAAGAAGTAGGCACAGTCAGAAGTGGTAACAGTTTCAGTGTTGTAATACTAGAAATCTCAACTCCCACTAGACATTTCCATACCTGGAGCTATTTTTCTGGGGTTACAGGAAAGGGGAACCCCCTCATCCACTATTTCCCAGAGTGGCAGCAGCACCACTCCTTAGCTCCTCCTCCTTCTTAACCCCGGTGGCCCCAAATCCCCTCTGAAAGGGTAAGGTTCAGGTATCAGCATAGCAGCCTATAAGACTTGCATTGGGGTGGGGAGGGTATGGAAGGCTTAGATCAAATGTCCTGAGTGAGCCAGGACCAGATTGTCTCCAACACAAAATACTGGGAAGTAGCACCATAGACTGTGCCATTTTGGATTAGACCAGCCCCAGGCATGAACTAAGTCCACAGCCCTTGGATTAGTCATGGAACTGAAGAGAAGATAGCACAGGGCTGTGCCTGGCAGGGAGTCTGGAGTTTCTGGTTTTGGTGTGAGCCAGGGGAGGGGCCTCCATGTAGGGGGAGGGCGGGAAACTAGGGCTGGGCCCCAGTCAGCTATGCAAGGCTGTGCAATCAGGCAGCACAAAACAGAATCCAACAGCTTCCTGAAACTCAGGAGTGGACACTACAGCTTTGACCACCTAAGGCACCTGCTCCAAAGCTTATAACTCCATTTGTCATTCTGAGGTCTGCTTATCCTGTACCGCAAGGATGGAGCCAGTGCTAGGCGTAAAAATTGGCTGCCTCTTTGCCCTGCTGGTTCTTACGCTGGTCTGTGGCCTTATTCCCATCTGCTTCAAATGGTTCCAGATTGAGGCAGCCAGAGGTATAGCCCTTCTGTATCTTTGCCCCCATAACCTGACTTCAACCCTATCACCCTACCCTGACACTTGCTCTGATTCTCTTGCCATCCCCCTGCTTAGACGTTGAGTGCTCCTTGTTGCTCGTTAGTCACCTTTGTCCATCTCATTGCCAACTGCTTGTAACTCCTGCTTTTCATTAGGTCGTCACCGCCAGGTCCTCAGCCTCCTGGGCTGCGTTTCTGCCGGTATTTTCCTGGGAGCAGGTTTCATGCACATGACTGCTGAAGCCCTGGAGGGAATTGAGTCGGAGATCCGGAAGGTCATGATGCAGGTGAGCAGCTGAGGTGTAGGGCTGAGAAGCCAGGTGATGAGCAGAACCAAGGGGAGGAAGTGGGGACAGTGATAGAGCCAAGGACACGGGTGGAACAATAGAGACAATGACAGCTCTGTGTTGTGTGGAATCATGACAACAGGTCAGATTAGACTGTAAGGAAAGCAGTGGAGCTGAAGGGACAGGGCCGGAAGCTGAGCTGCTCCACCCCTCATCTAATTTCTGCTTTTTTCTCTCTAGAACAGGACAGAGAGTGGGGGAAATTCTTCTGGAGATGCTGATTCAGCTTCTGTAAGTTTCTCTCACACCCAACCTGGAGGGTGAGGAGAAGCAGAGACTCTTCATACCCAGATCCTTTTGAGGAGAGGACGTGAGGAACACCAGGAATCCCTCTGCTCCTCAGCTCAGACACTGTAGGGAAAGGAGGAGCCAACCCCATACTTCGGGGTTTATGGAACCCCAGACAAAGCTCTGGCTTTACTCTTTCCTTCTTTCCCTAGACCCTTAGACATGCTCCCCATCGTTTTCCCACATTTCAACCCTACTGACACTGTGACCCTGGTCCCTCTGGTATTCTTATTGCATGTCCGTATCTCCTCCAGGCTTCATTCGCCTACCCTTTTTAATGGTTTAGTCCCACATTACCCATTCTCTCCAGTCTCCCATCCCACCTCCGCACCTCCATCCACTGCACTTCCTTTCCTGTCTCACAGCCCCTCTCTCTGTTCCCAGACAGACTATCCCTATGGAGAGCTCATCATCTCCCTGGGCTTCTTCCTCGTCTTCTTTTTGGAGTCGCTGGCATTGCAGTGCTGTCCTGGAGCCCACGGAGGATCAAAAGTGCAGGAGGAGGAAGTGGGTGGGGCTCATGTCCTTGGACTCCACAGCCATGGATCTCTACCCTCACCCTCACAGAGTCCCTTTCGAGCCCTCATCCTTTTGCTCTCTCTCTCCTTCCACTCGGTGTTTGAAGGTCTGGCTGTGGGGCTGCAGACAACAGTAGTAGCCACCGTGCAGCTCTGTCTTGCTGTCCTGGCTCACAAGGGGCTCATAGTGTTTGGTGTAGGGCTGCGGCTGGTGCAGGTAGGCACTGCGTCACGATGGGCCGTGTTCTGCATACTGTCATTTGCTCTCATGTCCCCCCTGGGTGTAGCCATAGGGCTGGCTGTGGCTGGAGGGGACTCAGAAGGGGGGCACGGCTTAGCCCAGGCTGTGTTAGAGGGTGTTGCAGCTGGTACCTTCCTGTATGTCACCTTCCTAGAAATTCTGCCCAGGGAGCTGGCTGCTCCTGAGGCCCCTCTGGTCAAGTGGGGCTGTGTAGCTGCTGGTTTTGCCTTCATGGCCTTAATTGCCTTGTGGGCCTGAGAGATTCCTGACTTCTTGATGGATCCAGGAGACACCTCCCGAAAGGCTTTGGTCCTCAGACATTTCTCCACTGAGACTAAATGGCATTCACTGGGCATCATGCCCATGAACTGGATCCCAGCCTCTCCTACGTGAGATCCCACTGCTCATCCAGGACTGAGAAAGGGGCGTTTATTTCAGGTTGAGTGCCTATACTTTGGAGAATTGATATAAAGACCACTGCAGATTTGACTCTTGTTCCACTTTTGCTACTGTGTGTAATAAATGTCCATTTTACCCTCCCCCTTCAAGCATGCTATAGTTCCTTTCTCCGGGTTACCCAACTGCTGCCTAGTGGAGCAGGAAGTGGGGAGGGTGAGTGTTGGATACAGTCTTTTCTTCTGGAATCAGAGCCCCTAGCCATTGTGTCACTTGCAGCCATGTCCCCCAGACATGGGAGCATTGCTGAAATTCCAACAGCCCGCTCCCACCTTACCCACAGGTGTTGAGATCCTGAGCCAGAGTTCCCAGCATTTAGAGGAGGAGAGGTTTAAAAACAGAAACAGTGGGGATCTAGATTTTTTTCTACACTAACCACACCTACCCCACTCCCAGCCACCCACATGTCCAGCAAACTCTTCAGATCAGGCTCAATGGACCTACTCCACCTGGTTTCTATTTTTCATACTGAGTCCTGTGTGGCTTCAGGGACACGATTGCTCTTTGAGCCTCTGTCTCATTCCAGCTGCCTTGTGCTGCGGGATTAAGAAGCAGTGTGTTTGGAAAGAGAGAAAGGCGCCAGATAAATTCCAAGGGTGATTACTTGGCTCTGCCGAGACATGGTGGCTTTCCTTCTGCCTGCCCTACCTGCCGCTATGCCTCTGGTCCCTCCCCAATGGGCCATTTGCCTTTCAGGCGAGTAACCCCTACAATGTGCTGCTCCTCTTAAAAACTGCACAAATAAAACAACTGGTTATCTGGAATTGAGGAGGAGCAGGACGGCTATGACCCAACGAGGTGGAGGAATGTCTCAGACTTGGTGGAGGGACAGGGAAAGAGGAGGTGGAGGGGCAGGGAAAGAGGAGGTGGAGGGACAGGGAAACAGGAGGTGGAGGGACAGGGAAAGAGGAGGTGTGCCCTGTGAGCTCAGGCACCCTCACCATTTTGCCCCTTCAAATACTTTCAGTGTAGAAGCTCAAGTGGGCTTAACATGGGCATGGTCTCCTCAGTTCCATTCTCATCTCACTTCATTCCTGTCTTCTGTCCTTCCCATTCCCCTTCCCACAAATTCAGAATAGAAACCTCCTCACCAGCCCAGCTCACGCACCCAGGGATCAGTGAGAAGCCAAGCTAAAAGCAAAGCTAAATAAAAATGATGAAGTAATTTTCCTGAAGCGCCATCCTATTCTGCTTCCCTTCAGTGCTAAATGCACTCACACGTAACACAGAACAGGGCCTAGTATGTTGTCATGATGATAGAGTTTCCACATGGAGCATCTGCTATGTGCCAGGAACTCTACTGTAGCTTCCACATATATTATCTCCCCTTCCCAACCCTGCCTGGTAGATATTATCCCCATAGAAAGTCCAGGGAAGCGCACTCCAAAGTTAAATAACCTGATTACCTAACTAGGCTTCAAACCCATGTTTTTGTGATGCTAAGAAAACCTCAATATACAGATTCTCTTCTTACCTTCCCTTCCTCATCTTTACCTTACCTGTTCCTCCTGTCTTATGTGTTAGGGTCTCAGGAGAAAGCAGAGAGCACATTGGATAATTGAGGCAAGTTTAATAAAGAGAGTGTGTAGAAGGTGTGGCCAGGATTAGGACAGAGCAACAGGTGATGATGGACCACCATGGGGCTGAGTGATAGCAATGCTGTTACCTTGGCTGAAAAGAAGGAGCAGTTACCAGAAACTCAAGAGCCATCCATTAAGAGCTGTGGCCCTTGGTAGAAGAATACAGCAGCCTGCAGGGGCTCCATAGGAGGAAGCAGAGGAACACCTTCACTCTCCTACTCTTGATCTACTGTCCTGTCTTTTACTGGCCCCGCCCAAACAAAAGCCAAAGGATAAAAACATCTGTTGGTGCATTGCTGATAGATCAGCCTGAGGAAGCATGGGTCAGAAAGAAACCTGGAGGGGCCAATAGAAAATGTCCAGCATCAGTTCTCTGCTGCTTTCAACCTAAGTGATCTTGCCAGGACATTCAGAGGATGAATTGGAAGGGACACAATACTATGGACATTAGAGAGCTATTTCTGGTACAGAGGATTTGTAGACTATAGGAAGGAGACTTGAGGAGAAGTACATTAGACTCCAGGGCTCTTCATGTGTTTCTGGGTCACTGACGAAATCGGCATTTGAGGTAAATGAGCAGAGGTCAGGAGAATTCAAGCAGAGTGACTCATGTGTTTTGCCTCCTCCCAACCCAGGAGCACTTAGACTCCCCTTTAAGCCACGTCTACTTTCAGCCAGCAGTGCTTTCTTTCCTTCCCATGACCATGTCCCGTGCCCAATATCCTTACCAACCAGGACAGGAACCAGGACAGAAACTAGGGAATGGCTCCATAAAGGTCACATTAGGATCAGGAAGAGAAACAATCTTGACTATTTTCAAAAGATCCCCAGCAAGGAGCCAGAGAGGGCTGTAAGGGAGCAGAAGATGAATGTGATTTTTAAATGAGACTGAAACAAGGAAAGATGCAGTAAGAGCAGGAATGAGAACCACAGAGGAGGAGGGAGAGCTGAGTGCAGTAGGGCATGGTGACTGGAAGCCAGAATCAGGAGTGCTCCTTGATTCAGCCTTGAGAGGTTGTAACTGAAGAAAATTAAGATTATGAGTTAAACAATAAAAATAGGAGGGAAGATACGTAGGATGGGGAAAAGGATAAGAGTAGAAGCTAGTTGGAATAGTCACAAGAAAATTTATGTGGAACAGTTTTCAAGTCTTAACCCCTGTTCCCCATCCTCATTCTCCACCTCACACATGGATTGTTTATTATATATTTAAAACAGGAAAAATAGAGACTTCTGACTGGCCTGCTGAACCAGATTTCCATTTTTGCACCAATAAATGACTCTCTGAAGCAACCCCTTGCAGCTCCCACCACCTGCCCTCTGCTTGCAGGTTGAAGGTTGGGTTTGGATATTGCAGTTGTAAGGTGATAATATGTGAAGACAATGAGATGGGGAACCGCATCAAAGAGAAACCAGTTTAGCAAATGTACCAGAGCAGGGTGGGAGGTCCCTCAGAGAACAAGATTCACCCAGGACAAAACCCAAAGAGCTGTAGGCAAACTTGTGAGATCATTTATGCCACTTCACCTATCCCATGAAGGACAATTTTCCAAGGTCTTGCCTCACTCACGATCGGACACTGTTGATTCTGGCTCTGATAGATAGACTACAAGGACTGGAGGCCTGAGTCGGAGTGGGGTGGTACATTGGGTGTGCCAACCAGTCAGATACCCTCAGGCTCCCCCACTGACCTAAGGGAGGAGCCCATGGACACTACCAAAGGTGAAGCAAAAGGGGTGCAGACAGGGATGCTTAAAGTTTTCGATTATTTCCTTTTTATTCTATTTTGTTGAGTTGCTACTTTTAGATTTGTTAAATGTCAAATACACAATGCATTCTACTTTTGCTATATATCCATCCCACGTGCTTCAGTTTCACTGTTTGTGTACTTCCAAGAATTACCCTTTAAAATCCTCTTCATGAGTTCCACAGTTTTCAAGTGGACACTGCAGTGCTCTCATCACTGTATTCTTCAGTTTTATTCTCCTTCCCAATGAGCCATCTCTTAGCTATCTTGGACTTCTGTCCCTTCAGTCAGGGAAACACATTCCTTGAGATTGAAAGAAAGAAACAGGAGTCCTAAGGCTGAAGCAGAGACAAAAAGTAAGGAGTTTGTGGTTCAGCTTCTATGAAGTCACCCCCCCCATCCTGTGAGCCTCTGATCTCGAGAATGGACAGGAGCCACCATGTGTTATCAGGCCTGCACTGTGTAACTACTGTGTAGATTCAGGAAGACCATGGGAGACTCAGGAAGAGAACCGGGAACTGGGGAAAGTTAGGAGGAACCATGACAACCACAGGGGGGCAGTGTCCCCATGGGCTCGCCTGGAATGTGTAGGACCAACAAAGTAGAGAGGTCAGCCAAGGACAGCACACCCCTCTCTCTTGCACCCAGCAAAAAGCCTCTCTCCCTCTACCTAACTTGGGCTTCTTATGCAGGGACGTCTGTAGGCAAGAGACACACATGGTCATCACCCATTTCACATACCACTCCTATCACAGGTACATATACACACATTTTACACAGAAATGAGATTTTTCCCCCTCTTTCAGGCCTGCTAGCCCTGGCCAGATAGCTCAGTTGGTTAGAGCATTGTCCCAATACACCTAGGTTTCAGGTTTGATCCACAGTCAGAGCACATATAAGAATCCACTAATGCCCAGCGGGTGTGGCTCAGTGTTTGAGCATCAAGAGGTCACAGTTCGATTCCTGGTTAGGGCACATGCCAGGGTTGTGGGCTCATCCCCAGTTGGGGGCATGCAGAAAGCAGCTTATTGATGATGTTCCTCATTGAGGTTTCTCTCTATCCCTCTCTCTCTAAAAATCACTAAAAACATTTTTTAAATCAACCAACGAATGCATAAATAAATGGAACAACAAATCGGTTTCCTCTCTCAAAAATAATAAATTTTTTAAAAACAAGATGAAAATCTATTTTTTTATTTTGAAAAAAGATTACCCTGCTAACATAACGGTGTTTGCTGTGCAGTTGAATGTGCTAAGACCCACCTTCCCTTCCATAAGGCACAGCAGCAGCTATTGCCAGTCAAGGCTGATGCTGGCTGGAACTTCGCCTTTTCTTCATGTTTTGTTTACCTAGGAGCTAGCTATGCCAGTGATTCCAATTATGCAGTTTCTTTTCTTCGGTGTGACGTTTAAGCACCTGCTGCCTGCCCTGTGCGTGGTCACCAAACACCCTCACCCGTGCTGATCCTGGCCTCCTGCGTTTAAAATAGTCCGGTGCCATGAGAGTGATGAAATGCTCAAGCATCAAGAGCATGTTCCATGCCCCACTTCCACGTCAGTGTGTCAGCGCTAGACATCAAGCTGCATTAGTCACCAGGTCTGTTTCACTGAGGAAAGTGTATAATTGCCCGTGGGGTTTCTATAATGTAATCTGGCAAATGACCTTGTACTATTCCATCCACAGTACTCTGGACAATAATATTATAAAGTGCGTCTCGTTTTTACTTCTTGTGCCCCTAGAGCCCAAGGATCAGCCTGCAACAGCCACAAAATACCTGAAGTTCTCTTGATGATTATTGTTCATAATTGTTGAGAAGGTTCTCAAAGAACCACAGATATAGTCTAATTAACTGCCCAAACTTGGATTTATGTGGAGGAGGAATTCCTGAGAGGAAATCCTGGTTGCTGTGACTCACCTGAAGGAATCTTCAGATTGGGATCAACTGAGCAACCCAATAAGCCCTCTAGAAGCTGCATGAGGTGTGGTCTGCTGATCGTATTGAATCGCCTAAAATGGAATCTAGGTGACTCCACAGAAGATCCTGCAGGAAGGTGGTCACAAGATGTCCTTGAGTACTTCAGCTGGCTTTCTGCACTTCCTTACGATTATGATGTTGGTGACATCTCTGAAATCCCATGGCATTTCTCAATAACTGATAAGGAAGTCTTCTAAGATCTAAGTAGCCCCTCCCGAAATGTGAAGATATTATCAATATCAAGGACAATACCATTGTCCATTCCATTGAATAAGGGCTGGTGACTGTGAAGTCACATTTTGTGAAGTGTCCAGGCTATGCAAGCCCCCTCCCATGGTTCGTGTCACTTGGAGAAGAGAATGTGAGAGTTGGGCAGGGATGGGGTAGGAAAGGGGCATGATGCAGGCATACTGAGACAGAATAATAATGGTGCTCAGATTCCTCTATAGTTTATTGTTACAGCAGAAGTTGTGGGAGACAGGAGAGCACCCTCCACACATAACACACTGTGGTCAGAGCCCCAAGGTAGCCCTTCCCACCCCTATGCCAAACCCCAAGCAGCCCTGCCCCGGCTTGGCCCCCTCCCACTCCCACTCTAGACACACACTGTCTAGACAGCTACCAAAGTTAGTGGAGCCAATGGCCCCAGGCCCCTTCCTATTGCCCAGCTCCAATCCTTCCCTCAAATTTGTTCATTGCCTATCACCTCTCAATCCAACTTCCATTCACACACTGGATATTTCTATCACATCCTGAGGACCACTAACCCACCAGCAAGCCTCCCTGACACATTCATTTAGGCCCATATCCTTCAGAGATCTGAAGGGTTCATGAGAAGCCATATCCACTTTGGTGAATGGAGACCCAGCACCAAGTCCCTTACCCTTGCAATGGGATGAGTAGGGAGAGTCTGGGGCAGGCACCATGGACACCTACAATGACCACTTATCCCTCATCTACAGACACCTAAATTAGGGAGAGGGGGACACATGCCCTCTCCACCTTAACAACAGAATGAGGGAGAAGGATCATTTAGGGGTCTGAGTCCCTAAGCGATATTAGGACAGCTCTCCCAGGAGCTGAGGGGTATCACAGGTTAGAGGTCAAAGTTAGGGTAGCAATCAAAGATCAAGGTCATCTCCCCACATGATCTGCCCATCTTCCCTTGCTCACTCTGGCCCAGTGTTGCACACACCTCCCAGGTTAGTGCTGGGGGAGGTGAGGGCTGGGTCCCACACCAGGGCAATAAGGGCCATTCAACAGGAGACCTCCATGGTGTGCCCTGGAGGCCCTGAAGGGAGAGTCCCAGACTCGCTGCTCTGGGACAAGGTTCGAGCGCGGGACCGGCTGCCATCAATGGATGCCGCACTGGTCAGGGAAGCTGTGCGAGATCGGGACAGGCGAGTCATGCAGGATGAGGCCACTGTGGAGACAGAAGGATAAGCAGGCAGTCAGAGAGGAGTAGGGGAAGAGGGGCTGGCAACTCACTGTCGGGTGTGAGAGTTACAAATGGGGCCAGGGGTCAATGAGCTTGATTTGGCAGATGGTGGTAAGTCCAGGAATTAGCCTAAATGGTTCCTCCCCTCAGTGGCCATCCCACATCCTTGCAGCAATCCCTTGTCCTCATAATAGCCTCTGACTCCCATACTCACTGTAGCCCATGCCTTGCAGGAAGTACTTGAAGGCCTCGGTCAGCTTGCCTGGCTGGAAGTAAGATGAGGAGAGGGAGACAGTGATGAGAGGGAGACAGTGATGTGAGGTTATGAGCTGAGCGGGAGCCCAAGGCCATGGCAGGTTGGGGATGGGATGTGTGGCAATGGGTATATATTGTTCAGTGACACTAATATCCCCTCCCCGGATGGCTGGGGATACTCACCTGAGTCAGCTGGGGCTGACCTCCGGAGTCGGCCATCTATTCAGGAGAGAACCCCCAGAAAAAGTGATACACACATGAATAAAGTGAGCTAGCCAGGAGGTAGAAAAGATCTCTCTTCCCTACTTCCCCATTCTAGGCCCTTAAGATTTTTTGTTTGTTTGTTTTACTTCATCCACCCCACTTACTCTAGGCAGGACCCTGGGGGCCTAGAAGCTGATTCTGGGATTTAGGATATACAGCTCTGGACAGGGGGGCCAGGAGTCAGGCTGTGCATGGAGTAGGGTTACTGACCTTGAGGAACGAAGTCTGGGTGGGGTCCAATTTTGAATTACATTCCACCTGGAGTAAGTAGGAAGCTAAATGAGTGAGGTCACACTCCCTGTGGTCCCTCCCATCCAAGGGACCCTAGGACTCAATCCCCAGTTCCTTTCCTACCAGCCCCTAACCATTTCCTTCTTAAAAGGAATCAACTTCTTATGCACCAAAGTTGCTCTCTGTGTCCCAAACAGAGCTTGCCTCCTGGCAAGATAACCCTCTAACCACCATCCTAAAACTTCAACCCTTCCTCACCCAAGCCCACATTCCCTACTGACCACTGCCTCTTCATGGGGTGCCTGGTCTCCAACCACCAGCATCACAGGGCACCTAGAGGAAAGGGTCAGGGAGGAGGTGATGAGCCCCTGGTACTCACTCACCCACCTCTTCCCAAAGAGCAGCCAGAAAATGTCTGGCTCCAAGAGGAAGCAGCCTTCTAATCCCTACCACCCCACCAGCAGGATTCAAAGGAAAAAGACCTAGACTGCAAGCATGTCAAACTCTGGCTGCGAGTTTGACATGCTTGACCTAGAGGGTGGAGGTTTGCTAAATGGGATGAGGTGGGAGGTAACAAGAAAACTCCCTTCTAAAGGATACAAGCACCTAGGGAAGATCCAGGGACAGACAACGCTGTATCACTTAAAGTCTTACTTGAGGGTGATATCACCTCCACGCTCAAAGTTCAGGTCTCGGCGGCTGGAGAGGGGTAAAAAGAGGAGTAGGAATTTTAGGCAGGCAATACTATCCATCTAGATATAAGTTATCTCTCCCATAAGGAAACTATCTTCCTCCCAAAAACTATAGTCAAATATTGGTGTTTAAAGTGGGGACCCAAGGGGAAGGTGGCAGGCTGGCCTCGAGTACAATCCCTATAGCCCCCACGTCCCTGGTCAGAGGGTAATGAAGGGGGAGGAAAGGCGCAAGGACAGATCATCAGCATCTGGGAATCAAAACTTTCAAGGGAAGTAAAAAGGAGAAGGGGGAGAGGCAGCACCTCACAATTCTTCTCACTGGGACTGTCCTGCAGCTGTCCCACTTACACACCAAATCCTGCCCTCCTTGCACATGGTGTACTTTCCAGACTTCCCTCTTCTCTCTGCCTCCTCATCACCCCCAGTCACTGCTTCTAAATTGTTTTCACATGCACACGTGCGCACATGCACGCATACACACACACAGTCACTCACTTGTTGTAGCTGTTCCAGTATAGTTCAATGTTCTCTAGGTTGGGTGCATGTGTAATGATATTTCTATACTTTTGTATCAACTCAGAATTTCCAGACAGCTCTTCCTGAAGGAAAGAAGAGGGAGAAAAATTGGGGTTGGGAAGAGAAGCCAACAGTTACCGGATGCAAAAAGTCCAGCCTTCTTCCCTTCCCAGATCCTGTCCCAGCTAAGGAAGTCACCCCAAGCATCCAACTCTCTGTTAGTCCCCTCTTTTTCCTCCATCTCCACAACCACTTACCTGGCTGAAAAGATGTCCAAGTATCATCTCCGGAATGGAAGAGGTGAGGCCTGTTAGCTGTGAGGAAAGCCATGTGAGAAAGCTCAGAACATTATGGGGAGACTCAGGCAAGTGACACACTTCTTTCCTGCTCTGTGTCCCCCTCCTTGACGTTCACAGGCCAATCAGTTATACTGGTAGAGCCTAACTGGACCCATGCAAGGGAACCCCCACCCTAGCTCAGCACACAGACCATTCCAAACCTTGTGG